TTGTGCTGGAGCAAGATAAGAAAAAGGCAATGGCTTCCCCCCTTCCCCCAGAGCTTCATCCTGTGGGTGAGAGTATGGCTGCCCTACAGTGTCACATCAATGCTCCCCGCCCAGCAGAGTTGTCCCTGCATTTGGCCAGGGAGGCAAGGTTCAGTTAGGAAGGGTTGGATAGAGTTCTGGAGTACTGACTGGCAAGGCCAGCAGAGAAAGGTGAAGCCAGATGGACGGTTCCTGGGTGCCGGTTCCCCGTCTGTCCTTGGCAAGCCTGTTGGCCTGAGCCTTCTTTCTCATGGCCAGTCAGATCAAGGTCAGCGTTGGTCCTATCCTCTCTGGGAGCTTCTCCCAAAATGTGGCCCACAGCCCTGTCCCAATAAATGTGAAGGGTGACATGATCCTGTCATCTTTGGCAGGCCCTGGGGTGGGGGAAGAATATGTTACCCAGTGGGTAAGTCTGCAGATGGACCCACCATCCACTGGAGAAAAGGTAGGGCTCACAGCAGGTGTCTGGGGCAGGAAGTGGAGGTGGATGGGCCTGCGTGCACAGTAGGACCCATGATCCTACTTGCCGCCCCTCAGAAACACCCTTGGCTGGGAGATGACTGGCTTCTTGCTCAGAGCGTTGCAAGCCCTGTTAGCATCTGCAGAACCTCAGCTTGAGTGTCAGCATGTGGGGCTCAGGTATCCTGAGGTGGCCTGGCCGGACTCTGTCCAACTATGCTATAAGCAACTGCCCAGTGGGCTCCCCGCCCCCTTCTCCCATCAGCCGTGAAGAGCGCACTTCCACTTGTCTATTCATGATGTCATGTAACCGTTGCACCTGTCTAAGTCAGTGCAATTTTATCACCCTGGAGGGAAACGCCATGCTGGATAAAGAGTTTCTTCTCCTCCTACCGCCTCTGTGGATCTGCACCTTCCGAGTGTTACATAGTGTCAATCACACTCTAGAGTTCCCTAGCTCACTGTGGTGTTTCAAGGTTCATTGGTAATCTGTCATGTCCATAATGCCTTTACGCCTTTCCTTCTTGGGAGAGCTAGGTTCCCACAGATTCACTTGCTACACCGTTGTTTGTTAATGCAGCAGTGAACATCTTAGCGCTCTCTCTCTCTCTCTCTCTCTCTCTCTCTCTCTCTCTCTCTCTCTCTCTCTCTGTATGTGGCTGTATGTGCAACAGCACTCATGTGGAGATCACAGGATGGCTCGGGAAGAGTCAGTTCTCTCATTACTGGCAGGTGTTTCCACTCTTGCTGGTGGTTAGCTTTCCTGAGTAGCTCATTTCTGCTTCTTGCTGGGCTAGGGGTCAAGGATGCCCCTGAGCAGGCTGCAGCCTTAGCTGACTGAGGAGGGAAGGTGTCAGAGAACACGCTCCTGGTCCATAGGCAGGTGTCAGAGCACAGAAATCATGTCCTTGACCTAGTGTCCCAGGAGTCCAGGGGAGGTTCCAGGAGTGAGAAGTCCAGTCAAGGTCTTGTCTCTGTTCATCTGACCATCCAGTGATATTTCAGGAAAGGGTCAGCGTGTAGACCTCATGTCCCCTTGGTAAAGTGGGAGTGTCAGGCTGCCTGGTCCACTTGTCAGGCTCACATAGGTCTTTAAAACTGAGATGAGCTAAAATGGATTCTTACCACTCATCTTTCCTGAACTAGTTCAGTTTCCAGTTCTTGGAAGTCACATGTGGATGCATTTCGCTGGTTCCTCAAAAATAAAAATAGAACAGCTCACATCTGGATGTGTGTCCCAAACCATTGAAGACACGCTCTTTCTGGGCATGATGATGTGTGTATGCCTGTAATCCCAGTACTCAGAGGGCTGAGGCAGGGGGATCATTGAATTTGAAGCCAGACTGTATATAAGAGAGGGACAGAGGGAAGAAGGAAGAGAAGGCGAGCTAGCCCAAGCTCTTGAGTGCCTGCATACCCATGTTCACACTGTAGCATTTATACCAGCCAGTCAGAAGCAAGCATTCAAATGCCTGTGGACAGATAAATGGAGGAAAGACTCACTGTGTCAGGGCTGGAGAGGTGGCTCAGGAGTTAAGAGCATATGCTATTCTTCTAAGAGGACTGAGTTCAACATCCACATCTGGCATCTCACAGCTGCCTGTGACTCCAGCTCCAGAGGGGCTCTGACGCCCTCTTCTGGCCTCTCTGGGCGCCTCTACTCAGGCACACAATACTCATACACAGACACACATGCATACATATAATTAAAACAGTTTTTAAAAATCGTTAAAAAATAAAATCATCAGCCAGGACTACACAGAGAAACCCTGTCTCGAAAAACCAAAAAATAAAATAAAATCATGTAAGTTGAGCCTTTTCTTTTCAAGACTAAATATGTTCACTAAAGGAATATCATCAAGCCTTCAGAAGGCACATGCTACAGCACGGGTGAGCTTTAAGGATGTTACTTAATCTGTATGAAATAAGCCAAAAGTCAGAGATCATTTAACCCCCACTTACTCAAGGATCTTAGACAGAGTGAGGATTGCCAGGGGGTGGTGGGAGGCTGGTCAGGACAGTGGGGAGTACCTCAGACATCTCTAAGAAGGTAAAATTTACCACACACTTTAAAAAATTATTTATCTTATGTATGAGTACACTCACTGTAGCTGTCTTCAGACACACCAGAAGAGGGCATCAGATTCCATTACAGATGGTTGTGAGCCACCATGTGGTTGCTGGGATTTGAACTCAGGACCTCTGGAAGAGCAGTCGGTGCCCTTAATCGCTGAGCCATCTCTCTAGCCCTTACCACACATTTTAAAGGTGGAAGTGACTTGGAGATATTGCCTTGGGCTGTGCAGACCCAAGATGCATCTGTTGGCACAGGTGATGACATGGTAGATTCTGGGAAAGCCTCTGGTCACTCCTGGAGCTCCAGGTTTGGGATCTCAGGCAACTCTGGGTAGAGAGTCTACCTCCCAACCAGATAGGCAGGTGGATAGGGAGGCTCTCCCAGGAGGAAGGGTCACAAGGATGTGCCAGAAATGTCCAGAGGCCCTGGAAAGCATGAGGCTCTACTGTGTTCTTATTATTTCTCAAGCAGGGCCTCTGGCAGGCTGGATGTTTAGTTTGGTTTGGGTTTCTGCTGTGAACCTTAATACATGTAGAAGGGCCACCTGGGGCCAAGGCACGCCTTCCTTGAATGGGGGTGATTAGGAGGACGGCCCCACCTCCTTTCACTGTTGAGCAGAGAGGTGGGGGTAGGGCAAAGTGGGTCTCATACTCATAAACAGATGGAAACAATTTTCAGTCATGTGAGCAAGGTCTGAACCACTGCACGGCAAGGCAGGGCCCCTTGTCATTCTCCAGGAAGCGGGCCCCAAAGCCACAGGTTCTAGGGCCAGATGTTACAAGGTCTTTGTTTATTTAAAGATGCTAGAAACCCAGGACAGTATTTCTGAGTGGAGAGCTGACAAGACACTTCTTGTTGAGAGGACTGACCTGGGCTGACGGTGCTCCTGATGCAAGGCACTGGCCCTTATGACCTGTCTGTGTCGTTGTTTGGGGGTGTTTGGACCCCGTGGCAGCTCCTGGTGTGTTTACAAGCATTCTCTTGTTTAATTGCTCCCCCTGTGCCAGACCAGAGGTAGAGGTGCCTGCACCCTGTGGAGGAAGAGAAACAGGAAGTGACTGACCAGTAAACCTGTGGGGGTGATCCACACATCTCCTTCCTGAAGCTAGCTTTGCAAGCCATTTCTCCCGTCCATCCTGCCTCTCCAGCCTGGAGAAGATGCTGAGAGGAAGTTCAGTGTCCGGCTTTGCTCCTACTGGACGTGCCAATAAAACGGAGAGAAAAGCCGTAAGGGTAGAAACAGTCAGAGTCAAGCGAGCTGAGGATGTCGGGACGAGTCAACTTGAGTTCAGTGTTTTCCCCGGAAGTGGAGAGACAGTTTAACCAAAGCCTGCAAAAGTCCCTGTGGTACAGACCCATCTTTTTTGCTGCTTCCTGGCCCTTGCTGACTTGGGATGGTCCCAACACCTTTGGTTGGTTCCCTTGTTCTCTGAGGGAAAAGCCACAAGTATACCTTGAGCCTCCTTTGAGGTTAGTGCGTGGGGACAGAGCTGGGGAGCCCTTCCCTGGAGGTAGAACAGACAGAGAAGGAGCAGCTGGTCCTGGTGACCCCTCTGTATTGGCCGTGTTTGGGGGGTCTGGGCCATGGGGTCATAAGTTGAGACTGCTGGCATTTTCCATAGCGGTTGAAAGAGATGTCTTTGAGCCTTTTCAACAATGTATCATCTCTGCAGCCGCCTTAGCGGCCTGGGTTTCCGAGCTGCACTGACGGGCTGTCTCAGCATAGCAATTAGGTATACTGTAGTTCAACCAGGCCGGGTGGAACCAGCCTTGCACACCCCTGCAGGGTGTGAGCACCTAGGGTCTCCATCTGGCCGGAAGAGGCTCTAATGCTGACCTATTAAAGGAAGCTGAAGTTTTCAAGTTTAACCCCTAGCCTGTCCACAGACCTACAAACTTTGGCCTTGCCTGAGGGTGAGGGGCATGCTGTCTGCCATAGCCTGTTTCTTGCCTATCCTGCCTCGAGACTATATGGGTGGGGCACCTGGAAGTACAGACGCTCCCAGTGAGGATGGGTCAGGTCTGGAAGAGGTAGATAGAAATCAGATCGCCCCTCCCCTGGGATCTGCTTGTGGTCACCTGTTGGACCGTGAAGGGCCCTGATGCTACAGTTCCTGTAAGCTCTGAGCAGAGGTGAGGGGCGCGGCTTCAGCTCTCAGGACATGGGGCTAAGAGAATATGGAACAGAGTCCTTGCTGCCTACCTGGAACCAGGAGAGCCCTGGGTGGCAGAGCTGGCAGAGATGGCCCTTAGAGGCAGGTGGCTGAGTGATGTGGACCAGATGAATGCTACCGTACAGGAGATTTCAGTTCTGAGATGCTCTGCAGGGGTTTTATGGGCAAGTCGCTGACCTGCAGCCTTGGTTTCCTGTCTGATATGCTGCTGGCTGCAGGTTCCATTCTCACACCTGTTTCTCCCTCCCCAGACTCCGAGGTGACTCCCAGCTGTGTTGGCGACATGGCTGACAACTCCAGAGATGCCATGCTCAAGCAGACGCCTGCATCTCGGAACGAGAAGGCCCCCATGGAGTTTGGCTATGTGGGGATCGACTCCATCCTGGAGCAGATGCGAAGGAAGGCTATGAAACAGGGCTTTGAGTTCAACATCATGGTGGTTGGTGAGTGTTACAGGCCCTCCAGGCCATTCGGGGGCAGGGGAGGGGGGGCTAGCCTCAGCCCCAGCACCCAAGCAACTCTCAGACTGTCTTCCCCACTGTGAAGTAGGGGGTCAGCTCTCACCTGAGGGTCAACCAGTGATACATGCCAGATACGGTACATGTGCTGAGAGGAGGGACTACACCCACCAGCGACTCCACAGAGAGGTTGCTCCCTTCGTGAGAAAACGCTGAGCAGGTGTAAGCCTTCTGTGACCAATGATACCGGCCTCCAAGCCTAAGTAGAGCTCAGCCCTCATACCAGAGGCCTGGCTGGAGGCTTCCTGGAGCCTCAGCTATGCTGTTCACCCAGGAAGTGGGTGTAGTAGTCACCTTCCTCCTGTGGCCTAGCACAGCTAGATGTTACGAATGGTAGGTGGCTAATCAGCGTGACCTAAACAGGTTGTGTACAGCGGGCTTGGGCGTCACACGTGTGATCATCTCGGTAACCCTGAGAAGGAGGTCTTCTTGGCTGGAAGGAACAAGTCAGTTCATTCATTCATTCATTCATTCATTCATTCATTTGGAGATAGAGTTTCACTGTGTGACGAGGCTGGAACCTGCTTATGTAAACCAAGCTGGCCTTGAACTCACAGAGATCTTGCCTGCCTTTGTCTCCCCAGTGCTGGGATTAAGAGTGCCACCATATCTGGCCTATCAGGCAATTTTTTCCTCTCTGAGTATGGTGTTATCTGGGCAAATGCCTCTCATAGGCTGATGTCCTAAACTAACAGAGTCACATAGGCTTCTGACTGCAGGGCTCTGTCTGAGGAACTGTCTGTATGTCTGTTCTGCCCAGATCTTCAGACAGCCTACACATCTCTTTGGGGCTGTCATGCCTCCTCTGCAGCTACCTAGGTCCATACCTCTGGAGCCTTGGTGTCTCTTCCTGCTTTGGGTAGCCTTCCTAGGACCAGGAAGGAGCTCTGCCGAGTTAAACCAGGCCCCAGAGTCCCACGTTGGGGTTTAAAGTCAACCCTGGACTTCCACTGAGGAGGTGAAGCCCTAGGCAGGGCCATCCAAGGATGTCCTGGTCATAGTGTGATGTAGCCGTGAGCTGTGTTCTTGGAGAGCCTTCCAACCGGCCTCCCCTTCTCTCTCCAGGGCAGAGTGGCCTCGGGAAGTCTACCTTAATCAACACCCTCTTCAAGTCCAAAATCAGCCGGAAGTCGGTGCAGCCCACCTCAGAGGAACGCATCCCCAAGACGATTGAAATCAAGTCGATCACCCATGGTCAGCACCACGGAGGCTGGGTGTAGGGACTGCCTCTTCCCAGAGTGTGGGGTCAAAGGCATAGCTCTGGAGAGGTCACCATGACCCCGTGGGTACACTGAGCCTGAGTAAGAGTAGTCTGGATTCCCATGGACCCCGAGACTGAGCTCCCACAAACAACTGAGCTTTGTACTAAGAGTAATGGCTGGCACAACCCAGAAGAGGTCACTTGCCCCTTGGCATGACCTCAACCGTTATTACAGCCCATTCTGGGACACTCCAGGCTAGCCAGGCAACCTGAGGGCTTGGAGTGACCCCTCTGACTTGGGGTGTTATGATTTGTGCAGATATTGAAGAGAAGGGGGTCCGAATGAAGCTGACAGTGATTGACACTCCAGGCTTTGGGGACCACATCAACAATGAGAACTGGTATGTGACCTCGGAGAACCTTCCTTCATGGGGGAAAAGGGCGGCTGGTCTTGGGGCTCTGTGATACCACTGGAGGCCAGACCCCCAGATAAGATCATTTCAAACCCTAAACCTATACATTTGGGGTTTACATTCTAGATCAAAATGGCATCACCTGGGACCCATCTGGGGTGGGTTTCCCACTCGAGGGAAAAGATCAGCATGGGGAATGTGGCAGAAAAATCTGAAATAAGGCTGGTTTGTCTTTGCAACAGACAGCCATTCCTGTATGAAATCAGAGGCTGGGTGTCAAGCCAGTTCTGGGAATTAGCCTGTCGTGGGGGCTTGGGAGGGAGGGCTTAGAGAGGGCATGGCGGGAGGGGTTCCATTCAGGGTGCAGGCTAACCCGCATCTCCGTGCAGCTGGCAACCCATTATGAAGTTTATCAATGATCAGTACGAGAAGTACCTTCAGGAGGAGGTCAACATCAACCGCAAGAAACGCATTCCTGACACCCGTGTCCACTGCTGCCTCTACTTCATCCCAGCCACCGGCCACTCGTATGTCCCATGCCGGGCCCTTTGTCTTGATGGTGGGACTCCCCAGTTCCCATGCATGCAGGATTCCATCTGCCCAGACACTGGGCATGGAGATAGGGGGTACTGAGTCAGAGCTGTGTCAGCACTGTTATAGGGCTGTCTGTGCCCTTAGAAGTTCTCGGTGACCTCTGGCCTGGGTGGCTCCGTGGGTGCCTTCTTCCCTTTGTCCATAGAACTGAGGCCAGGGCAGGCCCTGGGGTGTTCTAGAATCTGGTAGGCAGTCTCTGCAGATGGAATGAGACTGTCAGGCTCTGTGTGTGTGTGTGTGTGTGTGTGTGTGTGTGTGTGTGTGTGTGTGTTTGTTTCAGAATCTTCAGAATCTCTCTCCCCCAGGCCAGGCAGACTGTTGATGGTCAAGAACTAGAGTTCTTGGCTCTCTGTAAGTCTGATCTGTTCCCAGTACGTAAGTGTTGTTCCTCTGCTTGCTGGATATCCTGGTCGCTTGTCCTCACTCCGTGTAGGGTGCATATCTAGTCCTGGGCTCAGAAGGCAGCAGGAGATGGAGGTGGCTTGTTTAGAAGAGTTGAGGACTCACAGAGTTGGTGCCTCCTGGACACAGCTGCTGGAGTCTGTATGCTCCAGGCTGTGCCCAGCTCCTCCCTGGGTATAAGAGCCTGGGCTTTGAAGGGACTTTGCATCTTGTACTCTGTCTGGAGGGCGTAAGACTCACTGGGGTCTGATTAGAAAAATCCCAAATATAGGTGTCTGGGCTTGCCATAGTGACCATCTCCAGCGGGGCCCACAGGAGCCCGTTCATGGTAGGGTGTGCCATAAGGCCTCACTTGGGCTGGCTCGTTTGGGGTTCTGCAGCTGCTCCAAGGCTAAGGCTGAGGCTGACAGCAGGAGACGGACTGACATGGCTTTAGTGGGGAGAGCCAGAGACGCTTCCCCAGTGGGGACCCTCTGGACTAGGGCCCTAGCTGGGCACCTCGCCTGGTTTCTTCCTCCAGCCACTCAGTCCCAGGGGACAGTAGTGGCTTCTGGCCATCTTTGCTCAATTTCTGGCTGTAGCTTCACTTCCTGCAGGCTGTCTGGGCCAGACAATACTGCTATGGAGAAGATGCCATTCCAATGAGAAAGTAATGCTCAGGCTCAGAGGTTCTGCCAGCCTCTGCCGACTCCCTGTATGAGACCCTGGGTCTCCGGAGCCAGGCTGATATGGGAACAGCCAGCCTGTCCCAGGAGCCTGGAGCTTCTGGACACCATCTCCTACTTCTCCTTTTCCCTGACATTGAAAGTCCCAAGACATGACAGTGATGTGAACCAAGTTATCATTTGAGTGGGCAGTGTCCAGGAGCGGTTGGGCTCTGACGATCTCGTGGATGAAAGAGCTTAGAGGCAGCTTTACTCTGGTTCCCTGCTCTCAGCTCCATAGGGGGAGTGTGCTCGCCCTGAACCCTTCTAAGGCCCAACCTTACCCCTCTACCGACATGGCCCCCACTGAGATGCCTGAGATAGGGGATCCCTAAGCTGAGTCTTTTGCACTGTTCCATTTCAGGCTCAGGCCCCTGGACATTGAATTCATGAAGCGCCTAAGCAAGGTGGTCAACATTGTCCCCGTCATTGCCAAGGCTGACACGCTGACCCTGGAGGAGAGAGTCTACTTCAAACAACGGGTAGGACTCATGGCCTCTACCCAGCCCCTCCCCCAAGGTCTGCCTAGACGAGTTATAGGCTTGACAGGGGCCTGTCCAGTTCTGGGGATATATGATAGGAGAGGTACCTTTCAGCCCTTCACAGCATGTGTCCAGCCTTGGGGGAGCCCCCTGGCCTTTGTAGCTGCAGGGGTTCCTCATATCCAGCAGTCTCAGTGGGGTTCAGAAGGGAATAGACCAAGCAGAAGCAAACATCTCAGGGCGTTCAGACCCAGCCTGACAGCCTATCTCAGTGGCTTCTTCCTTTCTGCCATGGTTGGAGCTGCAGCTGTCTGGGTGACAGGGCTATTCCTTCAGGCGTCTGCAGTAGGATAAGTCCTGGTCCTCATCTGTGCAAGGCTACTTCAGAGCCTCCTGGGAGCTCCAGCCTGGGGTTCTAAGACAGGCCCGAAATCCAATTCCAGAGGCTGCCAGGGCTTCCTTCCCAGGGTGTGTATTGGGGATTTTCCCAGCATGCATAGGGCAGGGTAGTCAGGGGCACATCTGTTGGAAAAGAGACCAGGAGGCTCCCCAGTGTGTAAGAGCCTGGATCTGCTTGAACAGATAAGACAGATAGCTGTCCTCTGGGCTGTCCTCTATCGACAGCCACCTGGGCTGTCATTAAGTCATCAAACTGAGGAGTTTCAACAGACAGGTACACCCTGGGCCACCACGCTGAGAGTGTTTTAGGAAAAGGGCTCTGCAAGCCTGAGGTGTTTTCTTGGGGTAAGGGGGTGGGTAGCGATGAGCTGCACAGAAAACAGAGAGACTTAGGACAGTGGCCACAGGGTCCCTCGGGCCAGGGGACTGCTTCATAGTGTCTAAGAGGCTTCAGAGCTGGAGATCCTGGGCAGGATGGAACTCGGGGTAGAGTGCTCTCCTACCATAGAGAAGGCTCAGGGTTGATTCTCAGCAGCACACGGAGCTGGGCATGATACTTGCAGCACCAGCATTAGGAGGTAGAGGCAGGAGGATCAAGAGTTTAAGGTTATTCTTGTTTATGGAGCCAGTTTGGGGCTAGCCTGAGCTATAGACTTTGTTTCCAAAAAAGGGTAGGAATGGGGCTGGAGAGATAGCTCAGGGGTTAAGAGCACTTGCTCTTACAGAGCACTCAGGGTCAATTCCTAGCACCCATGTGGCAGCTCACAGCCAGTTCCACAGGAATTCAGTATGCCTTCTTCTGGCCTCTGTGGGCACTTGGCATGTATATAGTACATGTGCATACATGCAGGCAAAACACTTGTATACATAAAATAAAGTAAAATGGATCTTTAAATAAATTAGATATTCTCAGGGTGGGGCCACTCAGAGCCTGCCTTTGTAGAGAGATTCATAGCTCAGGCACCTGATTGGCTGATAGCCTGTTTCACCCCACACCTCCCAGATCACTGCAGACCTGCTGTCCAATGGCATTGACGTGTACCCCCAGAAGGAGTTTGATGAGGATGCAGAGGACCGGCTGGTGAACGAGAAGTTCCGGGTCAGTAGGTCAATCTACTGCTGGGAGGTCAGGGGCGGTGGGCGGATAGACAGATCGACGGGAGCCTGTATATCCGCTCTAGGTCCTCTGAAGGCAAGGCCTGCAGTTTTCCAGGCCCAAGGTATGGGCTGTTCTAGGGTAGCACTGGCCCTGCTGATCGCATGGGACTAACTCTTCCATCCCTCCTCCAGGAGATGATCCCATTTGCTGTGGTGGGCAGCGACCATGAGTATCAAGTCAATGGCAAGAGGATTCTGGGAAGGAAGACCAAATGGGGCACCATTGAAGGTATGTCTGCTGTGCCAGCACAGAGTGTTGAAGGTGTAGTTGGGCCTAGGCCGTCACCCATTGCACTGTGGGTCCCTGTTTCTTGTAAGGACACTGACTGTGGGGCACACCTCAAGTGCACCAGGGTCCCTGGACTTAATGACTTTGACAGACTTTGTTACTTTGTCCCATGCACTGAGGGCTGGGCTCTGGGCTTTCCTGGGGTCCAGCGCCCCAGGTGGGATGCTTTCAGGGCTTTTCTTTGCTCTTCTCTCTGCTCTTCCACCCTTTTTAGAATGGAGGATGGGAGAGGGCGGAACTGCCTGGAAGATGAAAACCCACTTTGATCCTTGTGACCAGTGTGGTCGAATGGCCTCACAGAGGAGCAGAAAGTTGAGGCTTTGACTTGGGGGGGAATCCCCAATTCTCTAGGGCCCCAGTCTATACCCTTCATAGGTGCAGGCTAGACCTTCGTCCTAAGGTCTAGGCAGAACAGGATGTAGCCAGGATTCTGCTGGAACACCAGGCCTGCTGGAACTCTCTGAGGGGCAGTTACTCTGAGAATCTGGTCTTGATGGTGCTTCCTGGCTCTGAGCATAGAGGCCTCCAGCCAGGCCCCCCTCCGACCTCCATAGTGGATTATCATTTAACCCTTTCAGCTCCCCAGATCCCCTTGCTCATCCTTGCAGACAGGAATTAGCCCAGTGCAAACTCAACTTTCCTAATGTTGCAACCCTTTAATACAGTTCCTCGTGCTGTGGTGACCCCAACCATAAAATCATCCCCAACCATAAAATCATTTCCGTTGCTACTTCTTAACTGTAGTTTTCAGCTGTAATGAATTGTAAACGTCTGATATGCAGGATATCTGATATGACCCCTGTGAAGGGATCACGACCCACTGGTCCAGAACTGCTGAGTTACTGGGCTAGGTCCCATTGGTCAGGTGCTTGCCTCGAATTAACCGAGTTCCACACTCTGCACCATGTAAACCAGGTTTGCTGTTTCTGTGCTATTTCTGCAGGATCTGTGATCTTAGTCTTTCAGAGGTGGAGCCAGGAGGTCAGGGACTCAATTCACCCACCCTACAGTGAGCTTGGGGCTAGCCTGGACTTCCTGAGACACTGTCTAAGAAGAAAGAGCAAGGGAGGGAAAGTGGGGTATGAAAATGGAATAAAGGGTTCCTCTCAGTCTGTTCCTTCGGTCTTTGATGTCTTCCTCATCCTCTGTGTCCTCTCCACAAATATGCAAGGCAGGGTTTGGAGCAGCAAAGTTTGGGGTAAAAGTCCTGGGACTCTAGGAGTGGCATAGGATACTGACATGTCTCTTCTGGCCCCTGATGGCCAATTTGGGTATTGCATGCACTCAAGGAAAACACTGTTCCCAGCTGAGGATCCAGGCAGCCTCTGGGAGCTCCCCCTGGTGGTTGTTCCCACATCCAGCATCTTTCTTGTGAGGACCCTGGGAACTTATCAGAACATGGTGGAAGTTCCTATCAGGGACCCGGTGAGTTCATAACTGACCAAATCCCATCCAGCTGTGCCTACGCCTAATCCTTGGTACGCACCATCCAAAGTGTCTGTTCCATCCTTGGAAGGTGTCTAGAGTACTACTACCTGGAGGATGGAAAGCAACTACTTTCCTCGAAAGCCTCACAAAGTCAGATTACATCGTTGGCTCATTTGGTCTTTTGTGGACTTGAGGTCTGAGCCATGATCTCCTGTTTAAATTTCTCTTTACATTTATTTATTAACTTATTTATTTTACTGGGGGAAGAGGGCACATATTTACCGAAACACGCATGTGGTAGTAAGATGACAGCTTGCAAGAGTCGCCTCTCTCCTACTTTGTGGTTCTGGGAATCAAACTGCCGTCATTGGGTTGGGCGGCAAATGCCCCTCGCCTACTGAGCCATTTGCCCATTTTATTGAGAAACTGAGTCAGAGAAGCCAACAGAATTCATCCCGGCCCAGAACACAAGGAATGAGGGGTTTGTTTAGGCTCACAGTTCCGGGGTGCTGTCCATCGTGCTGGGGAGTCATGGCGGCGCAACAAGAGGCTGTTGATCACCGTGTATCCACAGTCAGGAAGCAGATAAAAAAAAATGCTGGGGCTTTCTTTTTTATTCAGCTGGGGAAACTCAGCCCACAGAATGCTGCTGCCCGCATTCCTGGTGGGTCTTCCCTCAGCCGAACCTCTCAGGATGCACCCTCATAGACACACTAGAGGTGTCTCCCTGTTAACTCCGGAACCAGTCGAGTAGCTGTCAATCATCCTGCCCAGTGGGCGGGGCTTTCTGGAAGCGTTGGCTTTACTGGGTGGAAGAAGAAGGGCTTCCTCCCCTCAGAACACTGAGCATCTCTCCTTCTCTTTCCTTAGTTGAGAATACCACTCACTGTGAATTTGCCTACCTGCGGGATCTCCTTATCAGGTGAGTCAGCCATCAGTTCTGCAGGTCCCTTGGGAGGACCAGCTCTGTGGCTTGGTGGCGTTAGATGGACGGGCAGAGGCCCTACCCCAGCTGCCTGTTGTCAGCCCTGTCCTCGGGAACAAAGCTGAAACAAGCTAACAAAAACCTGGGCATGGATGAAGAAATGAGGATTCTTTCTAACCTTATGAGGTCACCAGGCTGAGAGGGGCTCAGTTCCGGTCCCCTGTGGGCTAAACCTGCTGGATCAGCTACGGCTACTGCCCACTCAGTACAGTCTAAACTGTATGTCTCAGACAAAACGAACAAACAGAAAGAAAAAAATCCGTAATGAAACTTATTACTTTGTGTGATGAATATATATTAGTAGAAAAAGATATGCCGGGCAGGACTATCTGAGGGCCTGGGTGGGGTTTCTGAGAATAAAGCTCGCCTTCAGGGCACCTCGCCTTTCCCACTCCCCTTTCCAAAGTAAAGAGGGGAGAGCTGCACTGAGGGCCAGTCTGTAATGTAGAGCTTGCCTGGCATGCTGAAGGCCCTGGCTCTTACATGCAAAAAGAAACTGTTTTAAAGAAAGTCAGTTTCCGGATGTCAGGTGGACAGCGCTGGGGACTGTGGTCACCTGCTGCCTCCTGCTGGCCATAGCCTGAATTTCTGTCTTGGAGCACGAATACCCAAGTCCTGCCGGCTGGTGGGGGCCTTGAGACCTTCCACAACTTTGTGTTTTTAGTGCCCAGTCCCCTATCCTTCTGCAGGCCCCTGACTAGAAAAGGGGATACGGGTTAGAATGTGAAGCCACAGAGGGCCTGCTGTCACCGGAGAGCGGGTGAACTCTGCCCGATTCTGCTGGCTGTGCACAAAGAGCCTGCAGGCTGGCTCTAAGGCCCGGGAGGGGCAGGTGGTTGTCATTTCAAGCAGGCTAAGTGGTCACCCCCATGCCGGCCGTGTCCCCTGCAGGACGCACATGCAGAATATCAAAGACATCACCAGCAACATTCACTTCGAAGCCTACCGTGTGAAACGCCTCAACGAGGGCAACAGCTCCATGGCCAACGGGATAGAGAAGGAGCCGGAAGCCCAGGAGATGTAGATGCGTCCCGCCCTAGGACCCCATCCCCAGATCTTTTCATCATCCCTGGCCCACCCACCTCCCCTGTCTTATTTTATATAATTATCTCCATTTGTCTCATGCCTCCATCCATCTCTTTCCACACTTTGCTAGGTAAGGAATTACCTCCTAAGTGTGCTCTTAATTGGCTGTAGCAGCAAGGTGGGCGGGGCTACAGCCTGGGCTCGCCTCTGTGTTATACTTCCGCCTCAAGTTGTGAAGGCTAGACTGGGCGGGGTCAGCCCCTAAGGGATTTGAAGATCTATGTGTCCTTGCCTGCTCTGAGTACTTAGCTGAAGCCGGTGGGGGCAGTTCCTAGGGGGGTGCAGAGGAGCCCCTTAAGCCACAAGACCCCATGGCCACAGCCTCAAGCAGGTTAGAGGCTGCACCAGAGGAGGATGGAGCTGGCCAGGTATTCCTGGAGCCCCACCTGCCCCTCCAGGAGGCATTGCTCACAGCACCCTCAGCTGCCTGCCCCTCAAGGGAACTAGAGACGTCACAGCCAAAGTTGCCAATCACTTAGACAAAGTGACAACCGTGCCCCTCAAGCTTGTCCCAGAGCAGAAAGTGCCTTGATCACAAGAGCCAGTCACCTCTTCCCTAGATGTCCCTTTGGATGAAAAGCAGGGACGTGCTGGAGAGGGGAGGTGTCTTTTCTCCCTCGCCCTTCAGTTCTCTCTCCCCTGTGCTGTAGATATCGCTACTACACTGGGCTTTAATTATGAAAGACAGAGCATGAAAGATGCTCCCCGGCCCCACCCCCAATTGTAGAAAGGTCAAAGCAAGAAAATGCGTTGAAGCCATGAGGGAGGAAGCCTCCTGAGGGAGGGAGCCATGGAAGGAAGGAAGGCATGAGAATGTATGGGATGTATCCTGCCCAGGTGCCGCGGAAGGCCTATCTCTCTGGTTCTCAGTTTGGCCCAAGATGCTCTGGTTACATTGGCGCTCCTTTGCCTCACCCTGCCCCACCCGACACACCTCAGGCTCGAGCCTTGATGACTCTGACTGTACTAGGTGGGAGCCAGAAACCTGACCATTTTGTTGTCTACATGAGCCTAGAGCCCAGCTCAGAATTCATCAAAAGTACCCCCAAAGAGGGAGAGATGAGGGGGTCAGAGATGGATAGCCAGACTCCAGGGCAGGGTTTCATAGCAGAGCCTGGTTCACTCATCTTCTCTCAGAGGGAACCATTAGGGACCATCCATGCACAGCTGACCAAAGCCATGTCCTTCCTGCCTGCCTCTCATTCTTGCTTGCCCCTGCCTGGGGAGGAGTTTGATGAGGTTGGTTAGGTTGGACCCGCTTGGGGAGGGTGCCTCTACAGACCCCAGGCTAGCTTTCTGCAGCCTAGAAGTGCAGTGGGAGGGGTGGGGTGCAGACAGATGAAAAGTGAACATTGTTTCCTGCTTTGGGCGTCTACTCCCCCACCCAAGCATGGAAGGCCCCCTCGTCACGCCCTACGGCCAAACAGTTCGCTTGCCAGCTTGCCAAGTTCTTTTGCCAAAATCAGGACTTTGAAGGAAATCTCCAGCATGCTGGACCCAGGGCACCCCAGCCTTCTCCAGCCCCAGTGTCCCTGGGGATTTAGCAGCAGACTGGTGTCATCAGGATGATTCTGTGCCTCTGTAACCAGGTATCGAAACTGTTTGTCTCACCAGGCCGTTCCACGTGGCCCTTTGCTGGGGGCTTCCTGGTGGGGGGCAGAAAAGTCTCTCTCTCTCTCTCTCTTTTTTTTTTTTTTTGTATAAATAACAAAGTGTTGAAATGTATTTCCTGAAATAAATGTTTCAAATACAAACCGGCTCATTCTGGAGCTGCAGTGAGTTCTCTTTCGCAGGACCTGTCTGGTCCACTAACAGGTGGGTGGAGGCTTCCACTGGAAGAAAGCTGTAAAGCTGTGTGAGGCCCCAAATTCAAACTTTGGGAACCAGCAGCTCAGTGTTGAAAAGTGCTCTCTGCTCTTCAAAGACTTGAGTTTAATTAGCAGCACCCACTGCCCGTAGCCCAGCTCCTGGGACATCTGACACCCTCTTCTGGTCTCTGATGGTACCTGCACACATGTAGCAGACACATGTATACACACATATAAATCTAAAGTTTATTAGGTCAGGCCCTGATAGCTGGCCATTTACAATAATGTTATTCCAAGAGAACTAAACCATGTGTGGTCCCAGGGAGCTGGCTGAGCCAACCAGTTTTGTGCACAGAAACTGGGAAAGGGGAGAGATACTCTGTGTGTGCTTTAATGGCCTGCAGTTCCTATGGCAAGTGAGTGCAATCCAGGCACCCTGGAACAATAATAGTCTACACTCTCGTCTTTCTAGAAGCCTTGACCGAGTGTTGGCACGACCCTGCTCCATCCACAGTCCCCTGCCTCTTCCTGCTCCTGGGATTATTCCAGATTCATGTACTTTCCTCTTGAGGGACACTCACTTTAGACATAGGAGCCATTTCAGCCCAGGATAGTCTCATCTTGATTTACATCTGTAAAACTCATGTGTTCAAGTAAGGTTTTATTCTAAGCTTCTGTGCAGGTGGGTCTGGGGTGGGGTAATTCACCACCCCACGCCCCCTTCCTGCGTCTCAGGGGTCCCAGAGCTACAGGGGGAGCATGTGAGAACTGGAGGCTGCTTGCATCCACCACACCGCATGGTCTAGGGAGTGACCCTACCTCTCTAGCCTGCCCACACTCTTCTGAAGACCACATGAAGACGAATAGGCTTCATCAACCAACGAGTTGTGCTCAGTGGCCTCATAGAATCAAGCATCAGGTTGTTGGTTTGGCTGTTGATGGCACTGGTAAGGGGGTCTTGTCCATGGAGGCAGCTTGCCTGAGTCCCCCATTTCTAAGTCCCTTGGTAAGTACTCCCCCTTGAATACCTCTTTCCTCAAGGCTGAACTGTCCCGTGTGCATGGCCATCCCCCTCCAGCCCCAGACAGACTTAGGCAGTTGTGAACTCATTAATCTGACTGGCTACCAGCACGGTCCACCCACACCTCCAAGCCGGTGATGGGGAAACCCCACCTGTCACTCAAACAAGCACTGTGTAGGACCAGAGTGGCTAGCTATTCTCATCTGCCCAGGAACATGGGCTTTCTTGTGCCTGCTAGCTAGGGATCGGAGAATCCTCACCTCCCACCAACAAAGCAAGACCCAGTGATCTTGTTTCCACTCTCCACAGTACTGGGGTTACAGGTGTGCGTGGCTATACTAAAAGAAAAAAAGTCGGGTGCTAGGAATCCACACTCAGGTACGAAGGTTCATGCAGTGTGGGCTCTTGTCCCTGTCTCTCCAGCCCTGAAGGTGGGCTTTCCATGGAACTATCAGAGCTGGAGGGGGAGGGGGAGGGGGGAGGGGAAGCTGGACAGGACAAGGGGGGCTTCATGGTGTGGGACCCTATGCCGGTGACTTTATTCCCTCCTGTCCAGCCCCAGCATCACACCAGCACAACTGGAACAACACACTGGGACAGTGGCAAAATCTAGAATGGACTGTCATTGTGTGTGTGTGTGTGTGTGTGTGTGTGTGTGTGTGCGTGTGTGCATCTGTGTGCATGTGGAGGCCAGAGAACAACCTTAGTTGTTTTGTTTCCTTACTTGCAATAGGGACTCTGTGGCTTGGAGCTTCCAAGCAAATAGTCTGGGCTGGCCGGCCAGTGAGCTCCATGGGTCTGCCCGTTTTCCCGGTTGGTCTGATGAGGTTATGTGCACGCCTCCTTCCCTGGCTTTACCTGCTTCTGAGGATCCCAACCCAGGGCCCCGTGCTCCCGTAACAAGCACCTTGCTGACTAAGCCATCTCTCCACTCGAAAAAAATCAAAGTTTATTTATTTAATGTGTGTAGATGTTTTGCCTACATGTATATCTTTAAGCTAGGTGTGTGTCTGATGCCTGAGGAAGCAAGAAGAGGGGGCGGGGTTCCCTAGAACTGGAGTTACAGACTGCTCTGTGGGTACTGAGGCTGGAAACTGGACCTGAGTCCTCTGGAAGAGCAGCCAGTGCTGTTCACCACAGAGCTACCTCGCCATCTTCTCTACTCGTTTTAAAACACCACTTTCTACCTACACATCTAGCCTTATTCAATATGGAAAATGCCAGAAAAAAAATTACACAACAGAGAAATATCTCCATTCACATCCAATGATGTTGTCTAGCCCTGATACTGGGGCACGGGCCTCAGACTCTAGGGAGGATGGTGGTGATCCCAGCATTTGAGGGACTGAGACAAGAAATATCAGGAGTTTGAGGCCACCGTGGGCTACAAGGTATGACTGTGCACCTCAGTCCCCAACCCTGACCCAGGTCCCTGTGTCTTCTGCCCAGAAGGATCCAGTGGCTTGCCCGTCTTATGTTTCTCTCTCCTCTGGCCTCTTGGCAGGAGAGGGGAAGGAGGAATCTTGCCCCCATCCTCACTTCATTCCCCTGCCCCCTCCCACCCTTGCACTGTTCCATAAGCCCATTGAGGACCCGTGTAGGATTGAGGTGCATTTCCTGAATTCAAGTGGAAGTATTTTCCAGATGCTTGGCTGCCCAGGACGTAGACAGGAGGGGCCCGTGTAGCAGCTGAATGCCGGTGGGAGGGATACTGGCTGGCACCACACCAATACAGGCAGTCACCCGACCTCTGTTGCTAGGAGCCCTTGGAGAGTCCTGGTGTAGAGGGTCGTCTGTCCTGATGGTCAGTGGCTTCCTCAGGCCTGCAGAACCTCTCTCTATGCTGCCCCCACATCTGGTTTCCTGCTGGCAAGAGCCACAGCCTGAAGTAAGACCTAAAGAAGTGTTGTAAATCAGGCCGCTCTGCCAGCCCGCCTTGCAGCTACTCAGTTAGGTCATCACCCACGGCCGCCAGGTGCAGAGCATTTCCACTGGGGGGGAGGGGCACCCGCAGCTACTCAGCTTACGTCACCGCCCACGTCATCACCCACGGCCGCCAGGTGCAGAGCATTTCCGCTGGGGGGGAGGGGCACCCCCACCTAGTCTCTCTGTCTCCTGGTCTGTCTGTCAGTCTCATGTTATCACTCCGAGAAGGCCTTTTGCTCTCCCCCTTTTCCCAGTAAACCTCTTGCATTAGATCTGCTG